TTTTGTATATTCAGTTGCCCTCCAAATGGCACAGCAGGCTCAACAGATTTTTTTTTACCATAAACTATGTAGGTGCATGTCTGTGTCTCTGCATGTTTAGCTAAAACATGCTTGTTCTTCACTCAGTAAAGTAACGGTTAAGCTTCAGAAGTAGTTGGCTCTCAAGGTTCTTGCAGTGAAGCTGTGATCGTTTAGCAGTGAACAGGAGCCCTGCATGACTAAAAAGTCTTTTGCAGGCTGCAGATGCAGGAAGACCTGTGTTAACTTTGAGTGACAACTTCTTGATGTGAGGAGAGGTATGCAATAGATCAATACCTCTGGTGGATGGACATGAAAGGTACTTCTCCAGCTCTCCTGCTTCTGGTTTTCCTGACCCCATGGTTCCAAAAGAAGTCATCTTCATCAGAGAGGCTGCTATTTGTGCTGACATCATCCAACTCTGTGTCTAGGTGATGTCTGATGAATTCCAGGCCTGTGGAAAGATAAATGGTTTTCAAAAGAATTAATTATTCTTATTCTTCTACTGTATAGGCTGCCAAGCTGCTGATGTTTGACATGAAAAGTTTCCTGAGCTTCAAACTTTTGCCACCCTGTGGCATTGACACACTGTACTCCTAAATGACAGTAACATTATAAAGATTCATGTATGTCAGTGTCCACTAGTTCACAATTATAAACATAATCAATCATATTTACCAGCTTTTAAGATGCTCTCCTCTGTGGTCCAGGATATTCTGAATCTTGGCAGGAGTATTGCTGCTGCAATCAGCTCAAGCTCTTTCATGACATCTCCAAAACGTTTTTGGAGAGCAGACTGCCTCTCTAGAGAGGTGTCATCTAGCCAGTGACAGGTGACTCCTAAATAGCTGTTGTGCGGCAGACCAGCAGGCTGTTGTGGTGGCGACATAGTTCACAGTGCTCAGCTTTTTGATGATTATGGTCTTCACCTTCTTTGCAGTTTCCTGTATTTTTGAGCATAATGTTTTCCCTGTCATTACTGTACATAGAGGTTGCATGGTTTCCATCATAGTTTTGAAGGATGTTGTCTCCACAACAGAAAATGGTTGGTTGGCCTCACATACAAACATTAGCACAAACTTGTCAAATGTTGCCTGTGTTACCTGCTGAGAGCCAGTGAGGAAATCTGTGAGTTTTGCCTTCCTCAGTTCAGTACAAGAGGAGGACTTTTGTTTCCTGTGGGAGTCTGTTAATTCTGTATACGTCTTCATTTTGTTGTGGTGAACTCTCTGTTGACAGAAAAATATCAGGCTATGAGACTACGGGGCATTAAGCCATGAAAATACACTCATAACACATTCAGTTCCATTTGCTAAAGTTCACTTAATTAAAGGAGGATTTGTGGTGATTACTGGATTAAATCTGAGCGTACACTGACAAACTATTGTGGTCACCACATTTCTGTAACTACTTATCCAGCAGAACAAATTTAAGAAACTTATATTTTTTAGCCTCTAACTTATTTGCCAATTATATATGGTAACATTGCAACATTAAATGAAACAGCTAAACTTACCGTGACATGATTCCTCAGTTTAGACATCGAATTTTTATATGCTGAAATGTCTGTCTGTTTTGGCAGACAGAGAAGACATTGCATTATGAAGCTGTTCTTTTTGCACTGTGTGTAAGCGAATCATACTTTGTATATGAGGCCAGGGGTGTTCATCCTCTTCTTTTGTAGCATTGGAGACAGATGCTTCTGCCATTTTTATGTTTTCATTCCCTGTTTACCATGGCTCAAGATTTTTTTTCCCGCTATGCCGCCAGTTTGTATGTGGTCATGTAACTACATGTGGTTATTGTTACTGTGGCTGATTGGTCAAACGGAGTCAGTTCAGCTATACATGTTGTCAACAGCTTTTTGATATCTTTTACAGTTTTTGCATAATCACAGTTTACATGTTATGTGCCAATCCATTCATTTTGCCAGACACAGTCAAGGATTCAATGACACAGTGCTCGACTGACACCTAGTGGTGAATAAAATGCAGTGCAATGTAGTCAGTAGACTTCAAAATGTCATCCTCTTTGAACAATTAAAACGCTGGCATACTGTCATCCAAAAACGCAATTTAAACTGTCAGAAACTCAAGACATATCTTTAACCTTTGAGCAGTGTTCATAGTGTATTTCTGTCTCATCAGCTCTGTACAATGCTAATATTACAAACATTTTAACAAAACCATTTTATCAGTCTGTGCCCTGAAAATATAAGTATTACTCACAGGTCAATTACATTGTCTTGTGTTAAAATTCACCTGACTTCTTGATGATCTGGTAAGGACAATACACAGTATACAGGATCATGGTCACTGTAATACATTTTTATTACAGTGCTGTGGTTGTGAGATGAAAATGAGATCCAACAGTATGTTCTTCTCTGTGGTTGATGCGGTGATTACTTGTGCATATCCCTGTTAGGGTTAAATTGGCAATAGATAAAGCAGATCGAGGCCACTTATATAGATAATCATAAAGTGTAATTTTACTTGCTGCAAGGGAGCATTCAATACACACAGTATGGTTGCATGAGGCAAATGTTCAGAGAGGCAGTCT